ATGGGTGGTGAGGAAAAAAAAAAGAAAGGGGTTTTTCCCCGCCCCGCCACTATGTCCGACATAGAGGCGTCCCGCTCTCCAAATGGCTTGCCTTTACATTAGCTCTTGTCTGCCATGATGAAAATGCAAAAATGTAAAAGGAAAAAGGCTGAGCTAGTTGCTGCCAGAGTCACAGTGGAGGACTCTGCTTAGTGCTTAACTGTTTAAAAAAGCCTCTAAAAAAGCGCCCTCTACAGGAGGAGGCGAGAGAACCACGTGCCTCATCTACATAAGGGATTTTTTTGCCTTTTAACCCTTGCTTAACTCTGCTCGAGTGATCATAAAGGCAGACTAAATGAGGCACGAGATTCTCCCGCCTCCTCCTGTAGAGGGCGCTTTTTTAAGAGGCTTTTTTAAACAGTTAAGCACTAAGCAGAGTCGTCCACTGTGACTCTGGCAGCAACTAGCTCAGCCTTTTTCCTTTTAATTTTCCTTTTCTTTTCATGATGACAGTGGTGAGGCCCTGCCTCCTCTGCCTTCCCCTCACTGGTACTAACAACACTTTGACTAATGGAAGTTACACTATTGGTGTCAATTTGCATTAGTTGTGTTAATTGCCACCAATGGCAAATGTACCAGTTATCCTTAATGCCCAAAGTGCCAAAGGTTGCATATTATTGGTCCCAATTAATTTTGCCATCTCAATAACTGGGGAATGCTTGCTCTTGATTGCCTTTTCCATATCCTCGGATGGCTCTTGAGACCGATGGATTGATATTTACGATATTTATGATATTTACCTCCTTTATTATGGTGATACTATGGTTAAACGAAACGGGAATCATCTCAAGGAAATGCAGCAGTGCTATTTACTATGGGTTTTATTGTCACTTTTTCGTGAGTGCTGCTTTTTAAAGGATCATGCTGCTGTTCATGGCTTTTGCACCAGAGTTAAGGCCAAATCCAGTTCCATTGCTGCAGTTGCCTTGAGTTTTTTTTGCCATAAGATAATACTGTTTTAAGGCTGGATCTGCAAATCCAATCACCCATTAGCCGCTTTGAAGTAATGACAAGCTCCCTCAGTTACATCTAAGAGCACTTTTAAACTGCAGCTGTGCAGAATACTGCATCTGATGCTGATTGTGTTCCGATGAAAGGATTTCAAACTATTGTCACAGTTGGGTTATAGGTAGGGAAAAGTTGGTTGCCTAGTGGTGTGTGTTTCCAAAAAGTACGGGTGTGAGCCGCAAGAGTGGGATTCTACCGGTTCGGACCAGTTCGTTTGAACCAGTAGCTCCGACAATCAGCTGGGAGCGAACTGGTTTGCAATCAAATGGGCTCACATGCTTTAGCTACCTTTATCTTTGCAGCTGAGTCGCGCGGCAGCAATCCGTAAGGTAAGTATTTTCTGAATTGCGCAGAAGCGCTCAGCGAACCGGTTGCTAAACCGGTAGGATACAACCCCTGTGTGAGTGTATCAGTGGTGGGTTTCAAAAAATTTTCGAACCTACTATGTGGGTGTGGCCTCCTTTGTGGGAGTGGCTTGCCGGCCTTGTGACCTGGTGGGAGTGGCTTGCCGGCCATGTGTTCTCTCTCTCTCTCTTTCTCTCTTTCCTTCCTTTTGTCTCTCTGTCCTTTTTTCTTTTTTTCTTTCATCTCTCTCACTTTTTCTTTCTTTCTTCCTTTCTTTCTCTTTCTCTTTCTCTTTCTCTCTCTGTTTGAGTCTGTCTGTGTGTCTGTGTGTGTCTTTGCCCCTCCCTCCCTCCCTCCCTCTGTGTCTCTCTATGTGATTCTCTCTCTGTGTCTGTCTGTCTGTCTGTCTCTCTCTCTCTCTCTCCTCCAGTGGTGGGTTTCAAACAATTTTGGAACCTCTTCTGTAGGTGTGGTCTGCTTTCCAGGTCCACTGGTGGAACCTCTTCTAACCGGTTTAGGAGGTTTGATGAACCGGTTCTACCGAATAGGTGCGAACTGGTAGGAACCCACCTCTGGAGTGTCAGCAAAACAGTTAGGTAGGACTTTGGAATAACATCTTCAGATTATTTTCCCTAATAAATCTCTCCGGCCTGGCATGAATTGCCATATAGAATACTGATTTTGGGGGGTCTCTGTGTTAGGAGAGTTAAACATTAGGATTGTTGATGCTTTAAAGATGAGAGGGAAAAGATATTTTGGGTGGAATGGGAGATATTAAAACAGCCCTAGTCTTTTTTTTTCAGGGTTCCTTATGAGCCTGAAAAAAGATACATCAGTTTAAGAAATCCAGAAGTAATGAGATTTTTAAAGTGCTAGCACTTATTATTTTAATCTTGCACAGAAACTGGAAGAGATTCAGGCTGTTTTGCTAGTGGAGAGAGAGAAAAGTGTCATTCACACTGAACTGAAGGTCTGAAGCCCTTCTTCCAAATCATTTTTGAAACATGCATAGCTCTGTTAAACTCAGATCATTATGGTCATACTTTCTCTTTTTACGTAGCGTTCGTTACCTCTTTTATAATAACTGTTTGCCAATCCTTAGTGTGTGTCTCTCTGTCTGTCTGTCTAAACATTTAAATTTACCTTTGAATTGTTTTAGGCTATTGCGTGCAATTTGACATGTACATTTTACATATAAACATTATCTTTCAACCCAGTGCATGCTGTGTGTTTTGACTTCAGATATCTGCTCCAGTTGCTGCTTTTGTTCAACATGCTGCTGCTCCGGGCTCTTTTGTCCAAGTAATGTTGCCCTTTACTTCATTTTCCTTTTTCAATTGATAGGCGTTTGAGAAAGAAGAGATTGAACCACTGCAGTTTAAGCAGCAGGAGGTAAATTGGTTGGGTCAAGGCCTTATTCAGAGTGCTGCTAAAAATGCAAGTACTGATAACCTTGAGCGGGATCTTGAAGACGTCAATACAAGGTGGAAAACTCTCAATAAAAAGGTACTAAACTATGTTTTCACTGTAAATACTTGTTTGCTTTTACTGGGTTGTTGTTTGCGATAACTCACCACAAAGTCGCTAAATAGTAGGCCCTGCTGCAAATAACATGTAATCTCCTAAATCTGAAGCATCACCTAGGCTTCAGCAGTCATATAGTGTGACCCGACAGAAGCGCGCCCGACAACAGCGCACCGACAAAACCGCGGCGATAAAACCGCGATGTCGATAGCGCGCCCACAAAGGCGCGCCGACAAAAGAGCGCCAACAGAAGCGCCGTTACGGTTAAGGTAAGGGTCGGTGAACCGGTTAAGTTAAGGGTTAGGGTAAGGGTGAGGGTGAGGTTTAGGGTTAGGTTTAGGTTCAGGGTTAGGTTTAGGGTTAGGGTAAGGGTTAGGTTCAGGGTTAACTTTAGGGTTAGCTTTACAGTCGTAATTGTAAAAAAATGGTCATAAATCCCTCTTTTTTCAGTGCCGTTGTACCTTCGAATGGTCATTAAATGAATAGCTGTAAGTTGAGAACCACCTGTACTCAAATATTATCATATCCAGGAAGCATTGCAAATATCAATAAATACTGGATCGAATGCTTAATTTTTTATTCTTCTAATTTCCTTCAGTTTCTCAAAGGCATTGGGATATCAGAGGATGCATTGTGGGCAGAGAATAAGGGATTCAGTGTTGAGGTTTGTTTTATATATATATTTTTTAGGTTGCACAAAGAGCAGCACAGTTGCAAGAAGCCTTGTTGCACTGTGGGAGATTTCAAGATGCTGTTGAATCTATTCTTAGCTGGTTAATTGATACAGAAGATCTCGTGGCCAATCAGAAGCCCCCGTCTGCTGAATTTAAAGTTGTGAAGGCCCAAATACAGGAACAAAAAGTAAGTGACAAGTTATTTTTTTAAAATGTCTTTATTTTTAATCTTTCGTTGGAGATTGGGATTCTTAGAAGTAAATACACTATTCTTCCATGACCCCACTCTGTCCACTTTGAGATGGGACAGGGAGGCAGGCAGAAAAAGAATTTGGACGGGAAGGGATAATAGCATTTTTTTTACTTTATTGTCCCATAACCTAGTCTTTCTTTATGCTTTTTTTTAAAAGGGGAATTTGCTTCACTTCTGGGAAGGGAGGAAACATAGGCAGGGAGGATAGAACCCAGAGTTGTACAGGAATTTATCCATCACCAGCTGCATTTTAGAATGTTCCATGCTTGTTTATCCAGTTAGAGGTACCCAATCAGAGGCTTTAGAAATGAACAAGGTCTCCCCAGAGGACCTTTAAAAGTGAACACCAAATTATTATTTCAGAGTAACAGGACAAGTGTTTGAGATAAAAGCAACTGATTCAATTAACTCCCATTTAGATTTATTTATTTTTAGCCTCACACTCATTCTGTAATTTGAGTCTTGCTCCAGGCATACCTCATAAAGGGTATCGTGGCACGGCAAAACCGCGCTCGACTAAAGCGCGCCCGATTAAACCGCGTCGCTGACGTCATCAACAGG